GACTGTTGAGGTGAGGCAGTTTCTACAAGCGGGTCTCCTGACCTCAATTTTTGCATTTTTTTCAGGTGCCCGATCGTTGATTCAAATAACTTCTGAATCAAAAAAGGGGAACATTTTGACAAAGGTTTTTCCCCAGTAGCATGCACTATGAAGTAGGATGGCTGACTGGCAGTATTTTCATTGATGTTTTCTGGTTTGTCTGTATTTTTTAGAGATTTATGATCCATGATTAAATAATAATATTTCAGCTCCTAGTGACCCCACCCACCACGGGGCCCAACAAGGGGATGCCGTCACATGGGAGACTCCCATAGACCATCACACCAGGGTTTCCCAGGAGCTATACCCTCACAATGCAGTCAAGAAGAGCACATCTTGACTGACATGTCTGCTCGGCCTGCATCGATCAGTTGACTCCAAGCCGAGGTGAACAATGACTCAACGACCAGCCGATTGACTCAAACTAAGCCTGATTTGAGCCTCCTGTTTATCCGAAGCAGGGGCCAAAGCAGTGTGTTGGGGACGTTATGTTGCCCCTCAACTACCAGGATCCCCCTTTCCGGCATACGGGACACCACGCACGGCAAACACGTGGGTGGGCATTCAGATCCCAGGGATGGTAAAGAAAAATTTCTAGACCATCTCTGGGAGGTCCCCTCACCACGGACAGGAACCCACATCGAGGGGCCAATGACTCTGAGATTGGGCTTTACCAGCCTGTGCAGATTAAGTGGTCAGTATGAAATTAACCCCTGATCCACTGCTTATCTCACATTAGCTAATTAATGAATGTTGATAAAGATATGTTATATAAAAAACAATATTATAAATTTTAAAATTTGTGATTTGTTTACATAAAAAGTTATCGTATTTGATTTGATAAATTAACTTTTGGAATTTAGTTCAATTTTTATTATCTTATCGAATGTACACAACTAATTCAAATTATATAAATGTTTTACTTATTTAGTGTGAAGTTTAAAGTCGCATGATTTTCCGATTAATGTTTTTATGCAATTCAATAATTGTACATTTTAATTTGTATATATAAATTAAAACAAAGAGAAATCAATTAAAGATTTCTCCTTGCTTTCCGATAATTCCTTGTGTTTTTATTGTAAGCAATAAAAACAGTAGGCAATAGACTGGTTAATTAATTGGTTTGAGTTTTTTGGCGCAAGAGCCATTTAGGCCATGCTGCGCCATGGCAAAAGATAAAATAAAACAAAACTAAATATATATAACATAAAATATAAGTATATAATAAATAAATATATGAATAATTAACTAATTAATTAACTTTCTTTATAAATATTTACAACTTTCAAGAAGTTCAGTATCTTATCAACATTTGGCCTCTGGCCCAAAATCTCTTTAAAACTTGCATTTCCAAAATGCTGTCTACGAATCCTCTCAGAAACAATGCAGTTGCACAATATGTGTTTAACACTTACAGTACAGTTACAATATTGGCATAATGGCTGGTCTTAACCCCTCAAAAAATATTAATGAGTCAACCGAGTATGCCCAATTCTCAAATGAGTAAGAATTACTTCAGATCTCCTGTCATACTGTTTATTACGTGTCCAATTTTCTATATTTGGCTTGATCTCGTGTAGTTTATTGTGGATTTGTTCATTCCACATGTTTTGCCATCTCTCTGCTAGTCGTTTTTTAACTACTAGCCTCAAATCACATCCTTCGATAGGCATTTCATGCTGTGAACGACTAGCTGCATCAGCTTCTTCGTTCCCTCTTATACCGATGTGCCCTGGGACCCAACAAAATTTTATAAAGAGATTTCTCATAAAAAGATGGCAAATAAGATTATAAATTTTAATCACTATAGAGTGAGAACTAGTTTCGCATGAGATCAAAGCCTGAAGTACACCGAGTCAGTGTAAATCACAATGCAATGATGACCTTTCCCATTTATATACTTTAAGGCTAAATAAATGGCATGCAACTCAGGAGAAAAGATAAAAGAATTCAATGCAATTTGTTCTGCCACAATTTCACACAGGCAGACGAAAGCTGAGCCAACGTAATCATCAGATTTAGATCCATCTGTATAAATAGGAATTAAATTCCTGTCTTGGTATTGAAATTCTGCAAAGTGCTGTCTGTAGACGTAGTCTGGGGTGGATTCCTTAGGAAATTTAAGCTAAGGTCAACATTTATCGTATGAGTTGACCAAGGTGATATACTACAAACCTCTAGCTGAGAAATGTTGCCGGTGTTCAGATCAATCGTGCTGCTCGCATTCTCCATTCTTATGGCAAATGTAGGGACACTACTTCGGCGCGCTTCGAATAATCATTTCAGCTGAGTATCTAATACTGTACAATCGATTGAGGGTTTAGTAAGAGATTTTTGTTTTATATAATAACAAAGAGAAAACTGTTCTCTCCTAAGATAGTGGAAGCTCATAAGCATCCACATACAAACTTTGAACAGAAGTTTGAAATGCACCAGTGCACAAACGCAGTGCTTGATGATGGATTGGATCCAGCATCCGAAAAGTAGATTCTCGCGCAGAGCCATAAACAATGCATCCGTAATCCAGCTTAGAGCAGACAAGGGCCCTATAAATCCTAAGCATAGAACATTTGTCTGCTCCCCAAAATGAGCAGCATAATACCTTTAAAAGGTTCAAAGATTTTAAACATCTACTCTTCAAGTTGCGCAAATGTGCTAAAAACGTCAGTTTATGGTCAAATAAAACACCCAAAAATTTCACCTCATTCAGCATTGGGATTTTAACCCCATTTAGGTAAATTTCGGGATCCAAGTGCAAACCACGCCTTCTACAGAAGTGGATGCACGACGTCTTCTCTGTGTTAAAGCTAAAACCATTCGTCTTGGACCAGTTGTCTATGCGATATAGGAAGGTTTGCAGTTGTCTCTCAATGAAACTCATATTACTAGACTGGCAGGAGATCTGAAAATCATCCACGTACAGAGAGTGTTTTACACTGGGAGGAAGACAGTTAGCTATGCTGTTGATTTTGATTAGGAACAGAGTCACACTCAAAATAGAGCCTTGAGGGACACCTTCTTGCGTGAAAGGCCTAGATGAAGTGTTGCCCATCCTGACTTGAAATCTTCGATTCTGCAGGAAGATTTTTATAAAAGCTGGCAAATTACCACGCATTCCAAATATGTGCAAATCACAAAGTATTCCGTATCGCCAGCAGCAATCGTAGGCCTTCTCTATATCAAAAAATACAGACACTAAGCGTTGTCGTCTAACAAACGCTTCGCGTATAAATGTTTCAAGGTTTACTAAATTGTCCGTGGTACTTCTGTTCCTATGAAATCCACTCTGGTGTGATGAATAGTAGTTCCTTTCCTCTTGGAGGAACATCAGGCGTCTGTTTACAATCCTCTCTAGGAGTTTGAGAGAGATTGATCTGTAATTAGAGGGATTCTTGTCAGAGAGTCAATTGGTCTTGTCAGAGAGATTGGTCTGTAATTAGAGGGATTCTTGCAATCTTTGCCTGGCTTGGGAATGGGAATAATAATTGATGACCTCCAAGAATCAGGAAAAGTATGTTCTGTCCATATTCTGTTAAACAGATTCAGAAGATTAAAAAGGGAATTATTTGACAGATTTTTAATCATGCTATAGTGGATTTTATCCCTGCCTATAGCAGTATTCCTTGAACGAGAGATTGCTGTATGTAGTTCTATGCTGGTAAATGGCACATTATATTCCTCATTAAATGAAGAATGAAAATTTAAATTTTCTTTTTCTCTTTGTGCTTTATAAGCTTGAAAATTCCTTCGATACATAATATTGCTGAATGAAGCAGAAAATGTTTCACCCAGTAAATCAGCAATACCCTGTATATCACTGATTATTGTGCCATTATTTTCCAGCATGGACAGAAAGTGAGAAGGATATTTTCCATTGATTTTATAAATTTTATCCCAGACTGCTTTTGAGCTAGCGGATGATGTTATGCTAAAAACATACTTCCTCCAAGAATCCCTTTGGCTTTGCCTTCTTATTCTTCTGGCATTTGCCTTTGCTTTTTGAAAAGCAACCAAATTTTCAGCAGTGGAGTATCTTCTGAAAATCCCCCCAGCTTTCTTTTGTGCTTTAAATGCTGCCTCACAATTCTGGTTCCACCATGGTTTATGATGTTTTGGATATCTTGTTGATGTCTTTCCCATTGTTTTCTCAGCTGCCTGAATAATACACAAAGTGACAATTTCAACTGCATCATTGATATCAGCAGTATTGACCATTTCCTCAGTGATGTTAGCCAAAGAGGAAAATGCAGGCCAATCTGCCGTTTCCATTTTCCAGCATGGTGGACGAGCTGTTTCACAGCTTTCTCTGCCTCGATATTTTAGAAATATTGGAAAGTGGTCGCTAGAGAGTAGATTACATCCAACCTCCCATGTAAATGCTGAAAACAGATTTGGGCTTGCTAATGACAGATCAATGGTAGTGAACGTTCTTGTTGGGGCATGGAAGTATGTCACTTCTCCCGTATTAAATAAATATAGTTGCTGATTGCCTATGAATCTTTCAATGGCTCTGCCTCGCCGGTTGATGTCCGGACTGCCCCACATTGGATTGTGGCCATTGAAATCGCCCAGTAAAAGGAATGGAGTTGGCAGCTGTTCAACTAATGAGTCCAGTTCATCTTCGTTGACTCTGACATCTGGTGGCAAGTATATAGAACAAACTGTGACAGTCACTCCAACAGAAATTCTGACTGCCACAGCTTGCAAATCAGTTGTTATTTGTACCGGCAAGGATGGGATGTGATTTGAAACTACAATAGCCACACCGCCACTGGCACGGTTGTGGCTATCATCATCCTTGCGGTAGAGATTGAATCCTTTTAAAGTAATTCTCTCTCCAGGTTTCAGATGGGTTTCCTGGAGTGCCACGCAGAGAGATGATGTGGATGATGTCAAGTGTTTAATGTCAGAGAAGTTGTTGCGAAAACCACGACAGTTCCATTGGATTATTTTATAATCCATTATGTGTTTGAGGCAGCATTCTTTGTGAAGGTATCCCTCTTTAGTTTTACGGCTGATTTGCCTTTTGGAGGTGAAGTTGGTGGTGTCACCTCCTTATTAGTCTCCTCGTCAGACAAGTCAGAGAACTCACTCATAGACTGAGCCTCTGATCTCTTAGATTTGGAGATGGCTGCTTTTAATTTTTGTTTGTTGAGCGGGTTCTTAGCAGCCTTCTTAGAACCCATGTTTCTTGTCATTACCACTGTTTTTGGTAGGGGTGTTTTGGCTTTCTTGGTCTCCTTTTCTGATGTTTGGATAGTTGGGAGAATTAAACATTTCACATGGCGGGTAAGAGATTCACTAGGAGAGACAGATATATCTGTTTGAACCCTACATGTCTTTGTGGATTTCAAAACAGCAGCAAATGTTTTCTGTCTCAAAGGTGCAGTTGAAGTGACCATACGACGAGCCTCTGGATAGGGTATGTTGTTCAGTGTTTTCACCCGTTGTATCTCCTTTTCTCTTTGCCATGCAGGGCATTTTTGGGAGTAAGAAGGATGGACATCTTTGCAGTTAACACAGCATGGGGTACTGGTACACTCGGTACTCTCGTGACCTTCAGTCCCACACTGTGCACATACGCTCTTGCCACGGCAGGATGTCTGTGAATGTCCAAACCGGCATTTGAAACAACGCAGCGGATTTGGAACGTACGAACGGACAGGGCAGCGCAGATAACCTGCTGTAATAAAAGATGGCAATGTCGGCTTGTTAACCCCTTTTGAGCCGCCCATTTTTTTAAAATTTTTAATTAAGCATAAAAAATACTTAAAACTGAAAAAAAACGAAAGAAATGCGTTAAATTTGAAGAAAAAGCTTCAAATTTTATTTTCCTTTGTCTAGTCTTTCTGTGAAATATAACACCGATGAGTCATTGTTTACACAGCTGGATGACCTTGAACACAGCTGGAGTCGGATTTCCCGGGACATTCTCATAGACATCGCAGGAGGACAAGGGTTTGAAGTAGGGTGACTTCAATCTGGCGGTATATTTTTAAATATTTTTAAAAAATTATAATTTTTATTGTTTCCGACCCCCCGTTAATTTTG